TTTTGTTACCACCGTTAGGGAGGTTTCATGGTCCAGTGTGTTTGTTGGTGCGTTATAACTCAGAAGCTGAGTGAGGAGATGTTGCTTGATTTGGCTGTGGTTAGATCTTCTATGGATAGTTTTGGGTTTGAGCTTTCTGGTCATGACCACTGAACTGAACTGATGTGGACATAAACTGTATGACAAACATACTCATGCCGTGATGCACGGGAACATTAAAATCAGAGAGACAACTTTAGAGGTCACTAATCAGACTCTCATAAACTTTAACACAGAGCTAAAATTGTCATGTTATTTAAACTACACAGTGCTGGCAGGGTGACCTCTTTTGTACTTTTTTGTATGGATATGCAGTATAAGGAGTAAATAAAATAATAACATAGAATGTGTGTAGATTGTAAAAAATTGCCAAAGTCTCCATTGGATAGTGTCCAAAATTGCCCCTGATTGCTGTGGCAACAGTGTGTGACTGTTGTGTGATAAAGTGTTGCACAAAGATGCATTGAATTAATGTGTGTGTGATTAGTTGGATGGCAAAAACTGTACTGTAAAGTGCTGTGAGTGTTCATCAAAAGTGCTGCATAAATACAGACCATTTACGTCTTCATTAAAGAGAAAGATTAAGAAAATATAAGCCTTTAAACTTAATTTGCAGTGAACACAGTGTAACAGACATTTAGTTACATGTTTACGTTTGTAAGGACAGTTCAGTAAACTACTCTGAATGTTTGGTCTTCTCATGACTGACATTTAATGTGACATATGTGATTTTTTGTTAAGTAATTAAGTTTAAAAAAATGACACTGTGCATAATGATGTTACTTTGTTATTAGATTAAATGGGGAATGGGCCACTGCATGAACTAAATGAACAACTTGAGAAGTCTGGGAGTCTGCACTGAAATATCAGCAGGCTGCGGGCCCGGTGCCAGATTGCCATGGCATCTCTCCTGTTCAACCCCCACCCCCCAAAACTTCACCTCGCCCCCTCAATCCCACCACTCACAACCACTCTTGCCCCTTTTCCTGCCTCCTAAGCTGAATGACAGGTGGCAGAAACCCGATCAGCATGGGCCTTCATCAAGGAAGCACTCTCTTCTGAAACGGGCACACTGCCCGCTCGCCCACCCGAGAGCCACAGCACACTGGCTTCTGAGGCTGTACAGAGTGTGTGTGTGTCTAACTGTGTGTGTGTGCATAAATGAGGCAGGGATGGGGGAGCTGGGCTGCAGTGGACATGGGTATGGGTGGGGGGGTGATGGAGGCCTGGTGTTAGGGGTATAATGGACTTTTTGGCTGAACAACCGAGCAGTGGAGTTGGCAGCGGGTGTCCAGGGCTCAAACGGGAAACGGGAGGCTGGCTCCCACAATAGCCAGCACGAGAGTCCCAGAGGGTCGTTCACAATGGTAGGGCAAGGGGCTACTGTCAACAATGACCTCCAAGGCCTCACTGTTTGAAATGAGATGGTCCCACCCTTCATCACTTCCCTTTTAGCGCTGCCACACAGCTAATGCAGGGATTATTATTAGGGACATGTATGTGGAACATGTGTGCATTTTGTCTCTGAAGAATTGTCATGTGGATTTGCTTTGAGCATTAGCTACTGTGCTGCGATATATTCTCAGCAGTCACATGCCAAAGGAGGTTGTTTTAGGGAAAGATTTGGAATAGAATATTATTGTTTTGAAGAAGAGCCAAAACTGTAACAGAATATCCTTAACGTAAAAGGTCCATAAAATATTTCGCATGACATCTTACAGAAAACTTTTGACACACTCCGCAGCACTTCATCTTTATGTTGCAGACAAATCAAGATGTAGTCGAGAACTACTTCCTGCCCTTAAACGCCAAATCAGATTGGAGAACCTATTGGCTATCACAGGCGCAGCGAAGCATCTTGGCGCGAAATTGGAAATCCACAGAACAACACGGGTCTGACCTTGTGCAACCTACACTCCCTGATTTTCATGAAAAAGAAGTTTATTTGTCAAAAATTGGTCGACGAACAATCACTCCATGGGCTGGAGTGATTGTAAGTGGAAATGGGAGGGGGGCAGCGCGAGCTGGGTCTCCAACCAGGAGGAGATTTAATTAGTGAAATCTCATTAAGTCTAACAAAATTAGGCGTAAAACAATCCTTGGTGGGGGAATCGTGGTGGAAGGTTTTTTTGGGGTGGGGGAGGGAGGGCAGGAGTAGGGCACACTTATAGGGGCTGAGGAGGGGACATGGAGACTGGCTGTGCGATTACTCCTGTCTGTGTGCAGGAAGAGACAAACGTCTTAGTATAACCAGCCCTCGTCTGGCAATCACCGAGACACTGCCATGTGTCTGATCCCCAACTGTCCTTGCTCTTATTTTGTCTGTGGCTCCTTTCCAAAGTACAGTCAGGCCATTTACAGAATCTAACTACACAGACCAGACAGAAATAGGACTTAAAAGCCTATTTTCACCAGCATAAATTTGGCAAAAACAACAAGAACAACACAGAGTGGTTGATGATACAAGAGATGAAGAACAAGCCTGCTTTTAAACAAGAATGTTAGAGCACAACTACATAAACAATATATTCAATCAGAATTATTTTTTTTATCAAATGTTAAACGTTTGTTTTTCTCTCTTTTTCTTTAATGCTCACCTCTTACAAAACATGCACATGGTAGCTCTGACTAGGATGAGACTGTCATTATGGCAGATACATTTTGATTACAGTTAGGTAACTAAGACATGGTTTGTTCATGCCTAATAAACAACTTTGTTAACTAAAGGTCTGTGACATGATGCCAGCTCCGTTCTCCAGCATGACAGTCAGAAGCGCCGCACACACATTCAACACTCTGACCTCTACACTTCACTACATAAAGTGCACACGCTGCTTGGCAGTGAATGTTGGCATTGGGTCATAAAGTGGATAATCAACCGATATGAATCCTATACTTAATACTGAGTTGAAAGAGAATGGGTAACAGTCATCCCTCAACAATGTGAATTTCAGGATGCCCTTGAGAATAAAAATATTTAATGATTCCGTGTAAATCAACCAGCACTGTGTAAGTGGGCAGCTGCCAAATGGCAGTGACAGGAGTTTTTATTGGTTTAAAAGTTTTGGAGCCCATCCACAACAGAACCATCCAAGCATTTTTTTTTTCATAAAGAGATGAAATCCAAAATTGATCTGCACTCAGTCAGACCTGACCCAAGGACAGTAAGAAACACTCCACAATACAGCCAGACTTATCAGACCCACAAAAACTGATACTGAGCTTCGATGCTCCTCCGCATTTTTTCTACTGCAAGGATTAAGAAGCTTGTATGGAGGCAAGCCAATTCCAATTCACCCAAAATATTTGTTGTATGTTGAAATGCAGACACAAGTATTGATGGATCAAGTAATCAGACCCGAACCAATAAATGAAAACATTTTAAAGTAAAAGTTGTTAAGTGCAGATTGCAGATCTACAAATTTATTTCTAAATATTCAACATTTTCTGTCTTCAACTGAATAATACATTTGTATTAAATAAATGTCTTTCAAGCAATGTTGTGTCTTATCTGTTATTAAATTGTCTTGTTTTATCAGATGCAACACAACAAAATCATATCAACATAAATATCAGCCTCCATAGTGTCAAAATATCAGCCATTTAACCAGCCATTAAAAAAAAAGCGTGTCCATCGAGACATGATAGGATCATTCTATCCTGTCTAGCAGAATGATACCCAGACCTGACTATAAACTAGACCTGGCCTGGTTCAGGTTCTAAGCTAACACAAACACCAGTAACAGCTCTGTGTTTTACCAAATAGATGGTACCAAGAACAGAGGAACTGAGAAAGATGTTTTGCCTCAGGGGGTAAAAAAAATCTGGAATCATTTTAATTTCAGCAGGAACAAGAACAGAAGTTTGCTAGTTGTTCAAATCAATTAGCAATTAGTTCCAAACATAAGGGAGCAGAAGACATAGAAGTCCTTTCAATGATTTCAGTCTGAACCATGGGGATAGGCAGTAATATCCAAATGCTCCAAGACAGCAATCTCCACTAATATCATCTTGTCTGAAACAACTCAGGTGGAGATGGATATGAGCAAAAACATCAGACTATTAGACAACTCCAGCAAACACTAACTGATCAAACCCTTCCAACCACCTTTTGTGTGTGTGGTTTGAAGGCATTGTTGGACGCTGTGTTTGCTAAAGTCGCCACAGTAGTGGCCATGTTTCCAGCAACATAAACACTGGATTCAAACTTAGTATTATAATATTACAGCTGAGACATTGTTTCTGTTGCAGAATCTTCTTGTTTGACACATCGAGGTAGTTTGTTGAAAATGACAGTTGTTTGCTCCTTGTCATTGTACGAATGTGAATACAGCATAACAACCGAACTTCTATTGATCAAGGCAGACTTGCACTATTAGGTAGTTTACTTACTAGTTGTCATTAAACAAGAATAGTCGTCATATCACATTTCAGCCCATTTACTTTTAGTTACCATTGCCTATGATATTTTTCATGAACATATGAGAAACAGAAATCGGTTAATAATGACACGTTTATTTTCATCCTGGTCCAAGATGCAAATATTGTGTTTGTTGAGACTGAATCAACAAATCATTAAAAAGAACCGAGCACAGCTCCAGCAAGAACTGAGTACAGAAATTCAAATTCTCATTTAAGGGTTGAAGAGAAAATATGCTGAAGTGATTGAAATAATTGTTTGGTCTCAACCAACTTGAACTGCAGCAGGGTAATCATTAACTGTGTACCCTGGCATGCCAACGTGTTTATAGCATGAATTATATTTGATTTTGTGCTCTAAAATTAAATCAAAGACTGGTGCTGGCCCCTGAAGAAAGTCTATCAAGACAAAATGGAGATTCTGTTCATTTAACACATACTTAAAACTGCACACAGCTCTGTTAATGACATGAATAATGAAAATTGTGCCTATACAATCAAGCTATATCATATGGTTTATAGGATGATAACTGACAACTTACAGTTAGTTTGCCCACAGCAACGCAGCAGCACTCAGTGTTGTTGTTTCTGCCGTTGGCCGGTATCCAACTCTCCACACAAAACCTGACGACAGACAAGGTCAAAATTAATGCGATTTAATAAAGTCATCATTATTAGTAAAGACCTGCATGGCATGCAAAAGATATTTTATAAAACGTCACAAGAATATAAATATATAAAACTTGACTGAAAGGACTGTTATTATCACCTGATGTGACACTGCTAGCTTGAAGCACTGGTGCAGATAATAGTTAGGTGTTAATGAATCAGTCTGCTTTTCATTCCCCAACCGATATATTTAAAGGGTAAAGAGACATTATTCTTCATTTCTGTTGCTGCCAACAAACACAGTGTTAAGGTGCTTTCACAGAAACATTCCTTTGTTTTCAGACACGAATTCCGGATAATATATGGACTATAGCGTCTGCACATACATGCCTTTCATGTGGACCAAATCAGCAGGAGATTGTCTGGGCCAGAAGTGTTCACAACAACAGGAAAATATGTGCCCAGATGAGAGGCAGCGCCTAGTTAGGGCATGCAGGAGGTGGGACATAATGTATAAATTCCACTGTTGAAATCCAGTGACACCAGTGTCGGTCCTGAACCTAGCGGTCTTTTCAAGTTGACATCTTTGTCAGTCTTCTTTTTCATCCTAAGATATTTTTATTCTTTTGTTTGTTTCAGTTTTGCATTTGTAATGTGTTAGAATCTCTCTCACTGTGAATTCTATGGACATTATCCTGCTGTTTTCTATCACGGGCTCACTCGAACATTCTCTGGAGTTTGAAGAAAGTCCAGAGCAACTGACTCAGATGTGCATTCTAACATACAGCCCCTTCGTAAGATATCTGGAGTTCAGTGCATGTCTCTACTACAAAGTCAATGTAATGTAATGACAGAGTCAATTTGAATACAGCAGGTCACTGTCTGGAAACCTGATCGATTGATGATGTTTATATCCTTTCTTCATGCTCTTCCCCCAGTGCACTAACAAAACTTTTCCTATTCGCTGAGAACCCATCTCACACAGATTGATATTGAGAGTTATTAGTCTTTGGTTGTGTGTTACATGAAGAGCAACTATCTACAATGTCCATACCTGATTCTCCAGAAATTTTAGAAACCAGTTATAGTCATTCTCTCATTTCTCTCTGACTTCCCTTCTCTGTCTGTGACTCTCAGCTACAAGCCCACGTCTTTCTACCAAAGATGAAAATCTTCATATATAATTATATATGCTTATTGTATATGTACTTCAAATATAAATTATATTTCGAAAAGTACTTTGTAAGGACTACAATTGGCCTCTAACATTCAGCAAAAGATATATTCAAACGGGAATGAATGCATTTTCTGGAGACTATTTCCACAGGTGGATAAATCCTCATTGGGTGTTTATAGAGTTTTCCAGTTGCAGGGCAGAACAGCAGCGTATGTATGAGTGACAGGAATCTATCCTGTGTACAGCACCCAGTGCAAAATTTAGTTTTAATAATTCTGAGGAAATAGCAAAAGCATGTTATACCAAAAAGCAAAGAGGAGTTCGGAAAAAGAGAGTTTTAAATGGTTAAACCACTTGTAGGTGTTCTGCTTGTGTTTGATAGTAAAAAGTTGGGTTAGAGGAGGTGACATGTAACAAAGGGCCCCTGCTGGGTTCAAACGGGGGAGAGTATGGCAGCATATATGCTTCGGAGACCAAGGCCACAAAAATCTCTTGACAAAATAAATCTTCTAAAAGCCTCTTGCAGTCTTTGTCACAGGAGGAACTAGAAAAAATAGCAAATTTCTAAAACTTAATTCAAGGGAGAACTGCATCTGAGGTCAAGACATTCCCTCACAACTTTTTTGAAGTGAAAGTGGACAAATCCAAAATGGCCACTGCACTGTAAATCTTCTATTGAATGCACTAATGCTCTACATTAGAAAACATTATTTAATATTTATTGGCAATTTAATAAAATAAGTGAATAGAAATAGATTGTACAGTAGTATGGTTAGATATGAGTATTCATGAATGTGAAGTACATTATCGATTTTCAAATCACATGCAGGAATAATTCATCTAGGTAAAAACATTTTTTTTTACAAATATTAAGTCCGTTCTTAGTTGTCTTAAACATAAATCATATAATTGGAGTATTTTTATTTGAAAATAGATGCATTTTAAGAAATTATTATATACAAGCATGCTTTTTTCCCTTTGTTACAGCCTTAAAATGACCTTTTAATTTGATTTGCAGTTAATTCCCCACTTTTATGTGACTCTCCATCCCTGTGAGCAAAATGCTACTAATTAGAATTTTCAGTGTCATAGGTGAAAACAAGGAGATTAGAGTGCAGCCATGACTCAAATTCCTCAGAGCAGTTGACTGTCTGGCCATGACTGAGCCACACAGAGCACATCGCTGCAGACAGAGCCGCGGCGCACATGCAAAAGATTTAAGTTCAATCCAGCATTCAGGGCCGGACACCTGATCTTTCACTTAAAGCTCCACCAGAACAGTGGGAGTGTGGCTGGGCCTCACAGCAGGCCGCCTACCTCCAGCAATCCGCTAACAGAGCCTCTGAAGGGATGGTATTTATCCAGTGCTGCACAGCCCAGTGGGGACTACTGTGTGTGTGGTAGGTAGGTACTACCAGAGGCCTCGTGTTGATGGGGGATAAGAATGAAACATTGTGGAGACTTGAAGCCTAAACTTTTGTTCTTTATTAGTACAAGTCACAAACCAATAGATTTAGAGAAAAACTAAGATGTAGCAAGTAAGGCAGTTTTCTGTGAGTGAACTGTTGAGTCATTTTCTTTTCATTAATTCCTTTACAGGCTGTCATGTCCCCAACATGTCTTTTCATCCTTTCAATTGACTGCAAAAAGAATGATGATGTTCTAATACAATCATTTTAATAAACTTGTATTATACTGCATTAATACTTTGAATATACTTATAATAAACATGGGCTACAGCATATGAAGAAATGTATTTGATGTCATGGTGTCTTGGATACAAATGTATCCAAAACGTCTTTCCATTCTCAAATTGTCCATTCAATTCTTTCCATCGGAATTCAAATAAATACTCATTATATGTGGGGAAGAGTGTAATCCAGCAATAGTCTAGGGAGAACCTGGGATTCATTTTGCAACAATAAAAGATTGCGCTCAAGAATAGGAGAGTAGGATATATTAATGGTAGAAAAGACAAGCTTGAAGCCCAAGAAAAGGAAGACGTCTTCAGGACGTATCTTGAGTCTCCCTGCCTAACAGCCCCCTTAGAACACAGGGGATTTGGTTGAGAGCTTTTCTTAGGTTTCTTTCAGCCACAAAGAAAACATTTTAGCCTCTCAGTAATCCTTCCCGAAGTCCTCCCTAAGCTCCAAGGGGCCTTCCTCCCTCGGCCATCCCTCCGGCCCCGTCTGGGATCCTGGAGGAGCGTCTCTGTGTGCTGAAGCCCGGCACACACGCCGTTCACCGTCTCTCCATGACCCCTGTGGGACCTGTCTGACCTTCCTGTTGATGTCAAAGTAAATCAGAGCGGGAGCCCGTGCAGCGAGGGGCTCCACCCAGGGGGCTGGAGGTCTAATCACCGTGTTCCCTCACAAAAGCCACAGAGGAAACATTAGCATTCCTCAATCTGCCCACCATCACTCACACTGTGTACACAGGTACACACAGTGGAGGAAAGTCATTCACTTACTCTATTTATATTTATTTCCTTCTACTGCATTTTTAGGCAAATACAGTAGCTTTTACTTTACTACACCTGTAATTAATAGTTATTTTACAGATGCAGGCATTTTTAGATGAGATGCGATTTTTACTGTAACAAACTTTTTGTCATTTGTGAGGATGAAACTTTGCTCCTCTGTTTTCCGTCATTATAAAAGAATATTCTGAAATTTGGGACTCATTTCTGACATTTTCCAGACCAGACAGGATTCAACGAGCACATTATCAGTGAAATCAGCATTAGATCAAACAGTGGGAGGGTGAGACCTTGCTCTTGGGTTACATTTCAGCTTTAATATGGTTGTAGGAATTGGACTCAGTTGTGCTTCTTGTGAAATGATTGTTCTATTGTTGCACCGTGTACAACATTTGCTCATATCAATAATGGGATATGCTCCAATGCATCAGGCCCCTCGGAGAGAATCTAGACTCATTTGGCTCATTTGATTTCAGTGCTCGCATTTGTGGCAAAGCAGGTTTGGATAAGGCACAGACATGATTGAATATTCAGAACTTCCTGCCTTAACTTTCCCTCTGATCATATGGAGGCTCTGCACGGCACAGAGAAAGCTCCAGATGGACATCTTTAAGATTCCCAAATCCTCCTCTTTTTTGCTAGCAGTACTTTTGGGGTCAAGGTGTGAAGGGAGGACCAAAAGACCCGTTTCCCACAATCCCTCCACAGCTATAGCCCCCCAGCTGTTCAAGGGCTTCCATAACAACAGCTGCGCAGAGGTTTAGTGGTTCATGTTGCTATGACAACAGCAGGATCAATTGGCATGCACAGACTCTCATTGCTAATAGCGAAAGTGACATTATGCCATAATTTCATTTCAATAAAACACAGGCAGGTTTTTTTTTTTACGACACTAAGATTCAGGAGGACATAAAAAAGGAGGCAAATAATTAATTTTGCATGTTAATGTGAGTGGCTCGTGTGCCCAAAACTAGCAAGAATCTCCCACGCATGCTGAAAACCTCACACCGGCAACCTCACACTTCAAATTCATTTCCCTGGAAATGAAGATTAACTCACTCACACAGTCTGACTGTTTCCAGCTCATACAATAGAGGCTAAATAAGTCCTCATGCCCGGCAGCTGTATGTGCCACAGATCACTGACCGGCAGGATGTGCAACAATCAGAAATATTTCTGTGCTCCTGACAAACAGGATATCCGGTCACTTGGCTACCCTAACAGTAAGGAATCAAACACTATGGGGGGATTTACACTATTGTACCAGAAACAACCTCGGCTGAACATGTACGCTATGTTTATGTGTGTGGGACAATAGAGTCTCAGGCTGAGTATCAAGAGACACGGTTGAGGCAAAGG